AGGCAGTTGTGCGTAGGACTTCAGTGCGATCGGAACTCACTGCGCTAACATTATGGCAAATAACAACGAAACTGCGACATATATATGTATATGTATGTGTACAAAATGTAAAATGTATATATATACTTATAAAGACTACGATTCTAATTTAGTGTACTTTGTGGAAGATCTGAGAAATATATATATGATTTTCCCAACTTATATTAATACCCACAGCTACACATCAACAGTCATTACGCCTGCTGACATCGATGGAAAGTGCGTAAGTACATGTAATACCTGAACATATAAGTTAACAACTAATAGAGCGCTCAATATATTTGAGTCAGCAGCCACATAGTTTACGTTCATAATGCCCTAGCAACAAGTAGCTTCATAAAAATAATGCTGATACGGTCAGCAGCGGCAATGGGACACCCAGTATCCGGGGTACCAATTTGCGCTGCATAAATGCTGAGTCGGGTTGCCAACTATGGGTTTATGGCGTCAAGCATTGGAGCTAGTGTTTTCTTTTCTTCTTTTTTTCATAAAGCTTTATTGAGGCGTACGGGGAAATCTGGGAACCCCTCCTTTTTCTCTATTGATTCAGCCCATTTGGGCGCACCGGCTAACTATAGCTTTATCAATTTAACAAAATTTTAACAATAACAAAACAGTCACAGATAACAAATAATTTATGATAAGGGTCAGCTTCTGCTGGCCCTAGTCAAATGAGATCGGGAAATGAGATCCCTCGGTTGCCTTCTGTTGAGCCTCCTTGGTGGGCGAGATCTGTGTAGAGCGCTGGCAAGTCGATTTCTGTGGCGCTCCAGTCTGTCATGGTATCGACTCGAGTGCTGGTTTATCTCGTCAAATACCGTCGCGAGTGTTTAGGTTTCTGTGCAGGGTGGTGTTTCGCACAAACCACTCGCAGCCGGTGATGAGTCTTGCGACCTTATTTTGGATAGCCTGGATCCTTTTGATTTGGCTGTCACATGCCAAGCCCCAGATTTGGCACCCGTACTTCCAGTTTGGTGCTATGGTCTGTTTGTAAATTGTCAGCTTGTTGGAGAGTGACAGTTTACAACGCGAGCAGAGTAGCCAGTAGTGCTTCGCCACCTTAGCACGTAAGCGTGTTCTGATGGCAGTCACATGCTTGGCAAATGTGAGTCTGCGGTCCAGCAGCACTCCAAGGTACTTTGCTGCGTTCGGCTGTGGTATGGGGGCTCCCTCGATATGAACGGAGCTCAATGAGTTGAGCAGGTGCATATAGAGATATCAAGGTTGAGTACGATAGTAACGACGGGTGAGATCTAGAATCAGAAGGCTTTCGTCCTACTACGACAGATAACATTAAAGACATGGACGCTGCCCAGTTACAGGAAATTATATCTGGCGCTGTTAGCCAGGCTTTAGCCCAGCAGGAAACCCGTAAGCGAAGCTGGGTGTTGTTTCGTAGTAAAACTCGCTACTTAATCAATTTCGCCGACCAAAGCACCATTTTGGAAATGCTGAAGGAGGTCGTGAACCCCGAAGTCGTAAATGCGATACACTGCGATGTGCCCACCCTGTCAAGTTTTTAACATTATTTAATTGCTCATTTCCCGGCTACGCATACTGTAAGAATATTGTGATAGACGTTACCAATAGAAACGAGCAGTTGGAAATTATCACGACAGAACACAATCGTGCACACAGGGCGGCTCAGGAGAATACCAAGCAAGTCCTCCGCGATTACTATTTCCCCAAAATGAGCAGCCTAGCAAGGGAAGTGGTTGCAAATTGCAAAATATGCACCAAAGCCAAATATAACAGGCACCCTTAGAAACAGGAGCTCGGGGAAACACCCATACCAAGCTATACCGGCGAAATGTTGCACATTGATATATTCTCAACTGATAAGAAGCAATTCTTAACATGCGTTGACAAGTTCTCGAAGTTTGCAATAGTGCAACCAATGCTGTCCAGAACAATAATGGACGTCATAGGGCCCCTGCTTCAACTCGTAAATTTGTTCCCCAAAATCAGAACAATATATTGCGACAATGAAGCCGCCTTCAATCCGGAAACCATCACCTCGTTACTTAAAAACAGGTACCACATTGACATTGTGAACGCGGCCCCGCTGCATAGCTTGTCAAACGGTCAAGTGGAACGATTCCACAGATTCTTAAGTTAGACAAAAAAAAATCAGCGATACGACAGAACTAATCTTGAGGGCAGCGATAGAATATAATAAGACCCTACATTCTGTCACTCAGGAGAAACCGGTCGAGATCCTCCACACGGGTTTCGATGATCGCTTCCTAGGCATTAAAGATAGGTTGATAAAGGCCCAGCAAAACAACATCGAAAGATGCAACCCAGCTAGGCAAAGCCGTGTTTTTGAGGTAGGAGACGAGTTTTTTGTCAAGAACAATAAAAGGTTAGGAAACAAACTAACTCCATTGTGCACAGAAAAAAAAGTGCAGGCAGACCTGGGAACGTCTGTTCTTATTAAGGGGAGGGTGGTCCATAAGGACAACATCAAATAAGATTCCCACTTTTAGTTTGATAATACCATATTCTTTAATAGTAAGCCAGATTTAAGTAAATACGCCGTGGTCTCATTCTACGTTTGGATTGCAGGTTCACCCTCATAACGCTCATTACCCTGGCAGTGGCAAGTGCACGGATTACCGACTTTTCTCACGCCAAATACATTCCCGTCGTAGATGGAGATGTACTGGTGTTTGAACATCGTGACGGCCTGAGGCACTCGAGCAACCTATCTGAATTTAATAGATGAATTAGTAGATGAGACAGAAAAATTGTCCGAATATTTTCCACAGTCGCATATGCGCAAATTATTACATGTTGATACAGATCATCTTAGAAACTTGTTGTACGTTCGAAAAATTGCGATTCCGAATTGCGAGAAGTTTAGACTTCTTGGGTACAGCTCTTAAGGTAGTTGCGGGAACTCCTGACGCCTCAGATTTCCTAAAAATCAGAATGACAGAAGCTCAGCTACTCAAACTCCAGGCAGATTAACATAATCTCCGAAACTCAAAAACAGATAAACAAGCTGACCGACACCAATAACAAAATGATTAAAGCCCGAAATAACGATTTGGTTGACACCCCGCATCTGTACGAGGCACTACTAGCGAGGAATAGAATGCTGACAACAGAGATACAAAATTTAATTCTCACTGTAACATTGGCTAAAGCTAACATAGTAAATCCCACTATCCTTGATCATGCCGATCTGAAATCACTAATTGAACAAGACACCCCAATAGTTAGTTTATTAGAAGTCTCTAAAATTAGGGTTCTTCAGTCCGATAACATTATCCATATCCATAGCCCATCCTAGAGTCAGGGTCAGATGTAAAAAAGTCCTCGTGTATCCGGTATCACATAATCAAGTAATGTGAAGAAGACACCTTTTCGGGTATCAAGTGCATGGAGACCACGCACAACACCTTCTGCGAGCGATCTCGACGCGAAACCTGCGCCCGCTCGCTCCATGCGGGAAACACAGCCCAGTGACATACTCAACCCACCTGAGGGCAGTAATGCCTATAGATGGCGGCATCGTTATCATTAACGAGGCAATAGCCCGCGTCAGCACGGATGGCGGCCCAGAGGTGCTCATCAAAGGAACGCATCTGGTAGCCTTCGAACGATCTGTAGCTGATCGTACCATCAACGGAACGGAGTTCGTAAATTTCCGAAAAACAATAGACTAGCAGCCTGGCGTAGCAAGATCACCACTACTGAACATCGTCGGCCACGACCCGGTACTGAGCGTGCCCTTGCTACACCGCATGAACAACGACAACCAAGGGTTCAAGGACGAGGTTGACGCCGCGGGTTTCCCTAAACATGGCTGGAGTAATCCTGAACGTTGGTCTGATCGGTTCACTCATCCTTTTTTTGGCATTAAGGAGAAAGCGAGCCTACGTCGAAATACAAAAACCCTCGATAAGCTTAATATAACCGAGGACGGTCATAATCTGAGGGGGGGAGTAGTTAACAACTAATAGAGCGCTCAATATATTTGAGTCAGCAGCCACATAGTTTACGTTCATAATGCCATAGCAACTAAGTAGCTGCATACAAACAATGCTGATACCCCCAACTGAATTCAGCGCTCCGCGCTAAGAACGGTCAGCAGCGGCAATCGGACATCCAGTATCCGGGGTACCGAATTGCGCTGCATAAATGCTGAGTCGGCTTGCCGACCATGGGTTTATGGCGTGATGCATTGGAGCTAGGGTAAATTTATATTTTTTTCGATTCTTTGTATTCAGTTTTAAGCAAGCACTTTAACAATAAAGAACAGCTACTCCAGCACTTATTTATATTGAACATTCTCGCTGAGCCAAAAGGCCAGCGATCGACCAAGGGGACAAAGTCACGCCCTCCATCCTAATCTCCATAAGAAGTCATCACTCTCTGGCTTAGCAGCCGGACGCACTGTGGACTCCGGAGGAAGACATTCCCAAGTCATCACTCTCTGGCTTAGCAGCCGGACACCGTGGACTCCGGAGGAAGACATTCCCAAGTCATCCCTCTCTGGCTTAGCAGCCGGACACAGGACTCAGAAAGAAGACATTCCCAGCGTCTGGAGACGGACCGGAGGAATAAGCTATATATATATTATAGGCCGAAATATCTCGGATAAAGGATGCATTACTAGAAACTTTAGTATTACCAGGAAAAAGAACAGGAACGGAATTAAGGGAAGTTTATACGTTATTAACAGCTAAGGGAATTTTTGTAGATAATAAGGCAATTTTGAATGTTAAAATCCCCTTATTTGGTAGGCGCCCTTCCCACTTGTTTAGAGTAATTCCAAATCCAGCTAAAAATTAAAATGATATAATTATTGCAGACATAAAATCGAAATATTTAGTTTACAATTTTGAAATTGACCCTATCATTTGATGGGAGTGTCAAAAAAGGGAAAGCTAATAACGTCATATGTTAAGGCAACTGGCCTTGGAGTAGCGTGATTGACAACACCTGCGAAATTACTCCTTTTAAACAAAGCACTCACTTTTATTTCATTTATAAAAAAATGGGTCACACAAAAATTAATTGGTTGAGATGAAAAAGATGAAATTTTCAACGAATCCAGTATACCTTTTTACGGGTTTTTATCGAAATTTGAGGGGCTACATCATCGAGTCCTGCAGGGGTTTTCTTTTTGTGACTTCGTAATACGTGCATCAAACTATTTTTTGAATGTCATCAATGTAATTTTATCATGTAATAAACTTGTTATTAATAATAATATTAATTTCCAAAAAAAAATTTACATTAAGTGTAGCGTTTATCTAACCTAATAGCAAGACAAATTATTATAGTAACTAAGTTTTAATTTTCAAAAATCTTGACAATATAATTTCGGATGTATACCTTTGGTCGTATATAAAAGAAATAAACCAATAAAATAATTTTAATTTTTGAATATATTACTTCTTATAATATTTACAATTAGTTAATAATTTATTATCCATTTTTGGCTAGTTTCAAACTCCAAATTTTTATTGACTGGACCCAAAATACATTTTCCATAATGCATTGACTCTTTTCCAAAGTAATTTTCTATCGCACCTTGCAGGTCATCAATAGTAACAGAAAGCATTCGGGAACGATACTTCTCAAAGTCCTCTTGTGAAACTTCATACAGGAAATAATCAATGCCAATATTTCCAGGTGCTATTGGGGAATCTAATTGCTGCAACACACCAAGCTTTGCCTCAAAAAGAGATTGTTGATCAATTACATTTTTCTTCCTTAACCATTCATAAGTTTCATCGAAAGCGTTAAGGGTTTTAGTTGAATGTGGGTCTCGATAGCTATAAAAACTGAAAATTCCGTCTGTGCTGATTTTTGCTCCAGCTCCGTAAGCCCCATTCTGCTCGCGAATCACAGGCAACAGATATTTGGCTGATACCAATTTTGCTAGAACTCGCAGTGTTGGATGGTCTTGGTGGAGATATGGGACTGTGAACAAAGCTTTAGCACAGTAATTTACTGGTATGTTCATCACGTAATGTTCACAGCTAGGGTCAAAAAAATGAATATTACGACTTGTTTTTGTTTTCTCAAATGCTGACAGGCTCTCCAAAAAATTTTCGTAACTATTTACAGCCAATGGCATATAAGATTCTGTGGTGTTAATGGCCCCGCGCATATTATTTTTGTTAAAAACTTTTGTTACAATAGCTGACAATTTATCACAAATTTCAATTATGCTAGTTGATTGTATGAAATTTTTCATAAAGTCTATGTGATCTACCCCATAGAGTAGGGACTTGAGTTTACCAGCATCACACACTTGCGAAGTTGCTCCCAACATAGCATACAAATGACCAGAACTTGCCACTCCTACAGATATATATGATATATAATTTTCTATTAGCATTTTAAGACGCTCCGAGTCATCAAATTTAACATTTTTAAACAACTCTTGGCACAAGCCAAACATGTCCGGAACATTGTTATTGAGTGCATGTGTGTTCATCATAACGCTTACACTGTAACTTTTGGAATCCTTTACATCTTCAATTAAATGTAACTTAAAATCAATACCACCGGTTTTTAAGAGGATACGCTTATCGAACTCCCGATAATTATAGTTAGTGGTGCCCATGGTAGTAATAACATTGCATAATAGGGGCATAAGTTGAATTTCTTCATGGCTAAGTCCTGTTATATTGAACATGCACTTAAAATAAGTAATTTCATTGGTCGGAACCTTGCAAATCTGGGTCCGAACATTTTGAACATTTTGTATGTAATATTTAGGCCATTTTGGTGGATCTCTTACATCATTCATTGTCAGACAAGGCAATAAATCAGTATTTGACTTAGCCTTTTGATATGAATCCAAGATCAATCCACTCTCATATATTTTTTTTTTGTCAGATTCATCAAGAAGTTTTACTTTTTGCTCTACCAACTCTAACTCGGCCTGTTTGAATTTATCCTCATATGTCTCATCAGGTGACATAGTCAATGTTAGTCTATGATTGTTATTTGCGAAATATTTATTTATTTTTTCTTGGAAATAATTTTTATTTTCGCTTATGCTTCTTCGCAGACGCGATACCATATCCGATACACGGAGGTTGCTGACTACATCGCCATCATGATTCCATAAAACTGTGGAATTGAAAAGCAAAGTATTTCCGAATTGGGGACTCTGGTGTTTCAAAGACAACTCAAGATTGTGCAGAACGCTTTCAACATGCTGGGAATCAAACCCACCATTCATAGAATTAATTATAGTTTTGTCAAAAATTTCGATGCATTTTTTGAAGTCCTCAACTCGAAGGTCTTGTAATCCAATGACAAAAGTTGTGTCCTTAGTATCCGAAGAATATCCAGTGGTTTGATTATACCCACCCGAAAAATTTGGCTCTATAAGGTTTTTGTAAAAAGGAGAATTAGGCCCACGAATTAGTATTTCAGATAGGACGTGTAATTCAAAACTTTCTTGGATGTTTGTGGCATCACACATCAACATTGCAATAGCAATTTGGTTCTGTCGATCAATTGTCGCACCCATGTTATCTAGTCTACTGGATATGTGTACAAAACGAGGCTGAGTCCAACGTTCTTGATTACGTATTAAACTGTAAGAGTTATCAACCCAGATTTGATCTGATAAATACTCCTTATCGAGAAGTGCAAGCGTTTTATTTGGATCATGTAATCCATAGGAATATATGCGAGCATTACTTGGGTGATAATATTTTTTGTGGAATTCAACTAGATCCTTGTGTGATAACTTGGGTATTTCCAATGGATTTCCGCCAGACACATATCCATATGTATGATCAGGAAAAATATTATTGAGTAGGCTCTGACTAAATATCTGCGCGTTCTCAGAAAACGCACCTTTCATTTCGTTATAAACAACTCCTTTGATTATAAGCTTTGAATGTTGATCGAATATATCTTTGTTTTCTAGCCTCCAGCCCTCTTGTAGAAAATCTAAATACGCCAGGTTTGGCCTAGAAAAGGAGATATTATTACGAAATATCGTGATCTATTTATATCTTACCTGAATACGGCATCTAAATAAATACGTTGCAAATTCCTAAAATCAATCTCATTCATCGTCGAAAAAGGATAAATAGTATAATCTGGACCAGTCATTGCATTCATAAACGTCGCTACCGAACGGTTAAGCATTTTGAAGAAGGGATCCCTGACAGGATATTTTTGTGAACCGCATAACGATAAATGCTCTAAAATATGTGGTAGACCAGTAGAATCAAAAGGCGTGGTTCGAAAATTAATTGAAAACACGTTGTTTGAATCATTTCGGTCGATATGCCATAATTCTGTACCCGTGCGCTCATAACGGAAAGTATAGGACGTAACTTCAAATTCAGAAATGTGTTCCACACGTTCACATTGGAAGCCATGATAGATCTTTCCTTCTTCATACTTGTATTTCCTTTTATTAGTTACATGTGGCATGCAACCAAATTGTTTGGGAGATAATTTGGGTTTCTTGGTATCGAGTCTATGAATATCCTTAAATGTAGACACCGACTTATAATTTATAAATTGATTCCTCAAGATTTGGTTATGTGAAGACCATAGCAGCTTCCACCGCGATAACATTACACCTTCTAAAAACGGAGTCAGCATCATCGGTGCTGATTTACTAAAAACAAAAGAATAAATTTATACGTATGTACACATGTACAAATGATTATATCAATGTTTTATATGTATGTATGTCAATATGCCATTTATTTCCTGACATTTCAATAGTCAACTCAAAATCTGTACGAACTACTCAAAATTATCAAAGTTACATCAAATTGCTAGAAAAAATTCATATTTGTACAAACATACTTTTGAATAAACATTTACACTTTTGTCAGTGCCCTTTATCAGTTGTTCATAGCTTTGTAAGTTAATCTTGATATGTTGACTTAAAAACAAACAATATAATATATCATAACTTGGGACTGGTAAATTTCCAAATGAAAAGACTTTGGTCCACCACTACATATATGTATGTACATACAATCTAGATGAAGTTTGAAAAATCATTGCATAGATCCTATAAAAACAAAACAATCAGCTGCAACTTTTAAAATAAAAGAAGCGTTAGTTATTTACTTGGAACTTTATTTTTCATCTTGACACTAAATACCAGCGGTTAAAAAACTGCGGTTACATTTAATATGATTTTGCTTCTGCTTACGCTTTTGAGAAAATCAAAAGACGCAGTTTGTTTTTTTGCTTCCTACGTTTTCTAATTTTGATTTTGGTCGCTGTTGCTTTTGCTCAGCAAGTGAGACATTCAAGAAGCGACCAACTTGTATTTACCAATTACCAATGAATTAAAAGAATTCTATGGCCATTACTTATAGGGTACTTCTTGTACTTCTGTATTATTTTTTTATTTTGAATTTTTGTTTTCTATTGCTTACAAAAATAATAAAATAAATTAAAAGTTATTAGAACAAACTTAGTTAAATTTAAAATGAAACAGTAAATGTAGTTTGATGAATAATACATAAATTAATTTGTATTGTTTTTATTTATTAAAATTATCACTAAGAGTAAGTTCTTCATTAATAACTTCTGCTAATTCAGGTGTAGTTTTTTAATACTGCGAAATATCACAATTTAATGTTTCTCAAGACATGCTTATGCATGTACATATGTATTAATTTGCTTTAGTAATATAACCCTGCAGTTCCACAATCGCTACCGAAAAACATCACAAAATCATGGCCACTCCAGCAGAGCCAAATGCTTCGACTGCAATGTCGATGCTCTCCGGACTATCTCGCGCGCATTAATTAATAGATTAAAGCGATGAAAATGCAATGATTAAGTAAATGATAACCATAATGATGAAATTTGAAGCAAATTCATCACTTCTCCATTTAAAACAAACTGCAGCCGACACTCTTAAATTTGTGACACCCAAAGATAAATTATGTAGGTAAAAGGGACGGGGGCGAGCAAAAGGGAATAATAAGAGAACGAAATAAATTAACGGATTCACTTGCGCTCAGATTTTTGTGAGAAGCAGACGCGATTTTTTTTAATGTTAATGGTAAGTAAATTATTTAAAATTAATTTTTAATTATTTTCGATTTTAATTCATTAAATATTCCAGTTAATGGATTCATTTTATAAACAACAACTAATACAACTAACATTTAAGGTAAATTGTTTTAAGATATTTTTATACACCACACTAATATTTTTTATTTTTAGGTTAATTGAACATGTCCCATTTTCCAACGCAATTGAAACGAAGCTAGCCCAAACCCCTTAAGACAACAAGACGCTGAAGACTCTGGATTTTTTTTTATTTAAATGCATAATTTATATAAGACAATTTGAAAAAAAAAATTAATTTTAAGTAATAATATATGGATAACATAATGTTGATGAAATGAGGACATGAAAAACGACTAAAAGAGCGATGAAAACGTACTGGAAATGTGTGGGGGGATTTAGTAGTTAAATTGCGGTAAAAGAGCAATAAATCAAGGTATGATTTGACCGTTAAAATGCACATTAAAGGAAATGATTTTGCGCTGTTATAGCGGTTATTGTAATTTTTTTCATAGCAATGATTTCCTAGGACATGCCAATTTTAAAATCATCGCTAGTTTTCATACGAATTGAGCGGTGATAAGGCACACGAGATTCATAACCAGTAATGATAAGCCAGTGAATCGGCAATGAAGGGAACTGAAGGGAAGCGCATTGGCTTACCGAAGATATATACATACATAATAAAGATATACATATGTACCTTCTGGCATAATAATGCTTTAAGTTGCTAAGATTTTTCACTCTAACAAAAATTTAATTAAATAATATTACTAAAAAGAAAGTAAAATAACTCACCGATGTAAAGAACCACAAATACTAAATTTCAAAATCTATGAACCACTTAATCTACATAAATATCATGCGACCGCTTAATAATAAATACCATAATGTGGAATCAATCTTCAATTAATATAAAATACTGATGTGTCAACTAGCGAAGACCCAATATGTCTTAATCCAGCACACCACATCAGAAGTGATTTGGATGTACTCACTTTTGCTTATTTCGTAAATAATTATTACAGAAGTGGTCATACCAAAGGCACTGGAATAATAAGATGCGTAACGCCATAAGATTTTTTTGCACACGATTTTTTCGTGCTGGCTCTAGAGCTAGAATTTTTCTCATGAGCCAGAGAGAGAGCGCTCTAGAACCAGCAGCGCTCTTGTACGCATACAGCGACAGCCGAGCACTGTATGTGTGCACACTTATGCTCATATATTGTAAATTTGACATATGCCCTTCACTTGAGAAGTTTATGGACTTTCAATCTATAGTATTTGTACTCGATTGCCACCAAGTAAAAACTCAAATTTTGCATTCTTTTAATATAATAATTATTTAAATAAATCATAATATAACAGGTGAACAAGTGTACATAATAATACCTAATTAATTTCAAAGATTACTTTATACTAGAATATATGTCGTTAGAATATTCAGCTCGCGACGTGGAAAATATATTTGAGATTAGGGATTCTTAGGTACGCTGGTCCTGCCTGAAGAATTAAATTTTGCAATTAACAGGTTGCATTTTGACAAATAGACAGAGCTATTATTTGCTATTATTTTTCCAAATTTTAATAATTCATATGTATATCCGTATTTATATTCAATAAAAGTTTATATGTAAAGTTCAGTTGTAAACGGTAGCTAATTCGAGCGGCGATTTTAACTAACAAATATTAAAATAACTTCTTAAAAAAAAATTAATCACGGCTTCAATTTTTAAATAATATTTTATTAGATCATATTACACCGAAATTGACCAAAACATTTATCAAATTCGTTTCTTAGATCAAAATTGATTTCGGACCGAAAATCGTCTTCTAGCACAACTACGAACACATGCACACTTTTTTTTTTTTGTTTACTGTTTTCACTCACACAAGCAAGTGAATTCTATTTTTATATTTTTATGCTCTCAATTTTACGCGAGCGGGAAGAGAGCAATTATTGCCGCCACCAAAAAAGTGGCTGCAGAGGGAAAAACCAATGTATGGCCGTTACGCATCTTATTATTCTAGTGTCTTTGGTCATACAGTCTAGTATAAACTCTAACGCAACCAGCTTTTATCCTTTTCGTTTACAACAATAATATTAATAATACTTTAAAAATCGTAAAAATTATTTATTTTAATTCACTTAAGTATGCCAAAAAAAAAACAAACAGATTCAAAAAAACCAAACACACGAGAGCACTTCCAAGTGTATTTTGTCCCCTTCTCATTATGTTACTACCACTACGGCTACGCAGAGCACAGACTTTCATTTCTTGCTGTTGCTATTGTTCATCAAGCGATGACACTGCAAGTAAGAATGACACATACATCTATAGTAACTTATGTAGTTACCGCTTTATTTAATGAAGAGATACAATGGAAAGTTAATTTGATTCCGTAAGCTTGTTGCGCGGCAAGGCTGAAGTTGAGACACATCTACTCCCTCTCCAGTGCCTTCGCCAGGTAACGGTGAAGGTAACGGTATAAATTCTGGAGCTGCAGGTGCAGGGCCCGTTGGCGTAGGTGGCTGCGAAATCTGTTGGTCAGGCGGTGGATCCTCGTGGTGGTTTTCGCAAGCGTCAGCTTCAGCTAAGAAGGCAGGCTTGAAGGGGTCGACTGATATGGCCTTCTCTTGTTCATGAATGCTGATAATGTAGAACTTGTTATGAACCCAGCGTATTACCCGATGAGGTCCCGTGTAAGGCGGCTCGAGTGGTCTTTTAACAGATGCCACTCGCTTGAAGACGTGTGTACAAGTTCTCAGGTCCTTACAAATGAAAACAGGTGGTTTAGAGTGATGCGCTGCAGGAGTAGGTCGGGCTGCCCTGATATGTTGACGTAGTTGGTCGGTGAGTCGGTAATCCTTGCTGAAGGCGGTTGGAGTGTGCGACTCAAAAAATTCGTTGGGGATATGAATAGTGGTGCAGAAAAGCATTTCGGCTGGCGATGACTCGAGGTCCGCCTTAAACGCCGAGCGCAGCCCCAACAGAACTGTAGGCAGGATATCCGGCCATGCTAAGTGAGACTTACACATCAGGGCGGCCTTGAGGGTACGGTGTCATCTCTCCACGATGCCGTTTGACTGAGGGTGATATGCGGTTGTACGTATCCTTTCGGCTTCAATTAGTTTAGCCAGCTCAGCAAACAATGAGGATTCGAATTGAGTTCCCTGGTCCGTTGTTATAGTGAGTGTGCAGCCAAACATGCAGATCCACTGTGTATATAGAGCTCTTGCGACAGTCTCCGCGGTGATGTTGGATAGTGGAATAGCTGCAGTAAGACAGTAGCGTAAATTACGGATAGTGGGAAGCTCAATCAGATCGACGTGAATGTGCTCGAAACGATTGTCAGGAACATCGATCTTCTCCACCGGGCTGCGTGTGTGGCGATGGATTTTGGCCCGCTGGCAAGGAACGCATTGTCGGGACCAGAGGGTGACATCACGGTTAATTCCTGGTCAGACAAACCGCTGCTTAAGTAACTTTGCAGTTGTACGGCCGCTGGGATGCGCCAATCCATGTACTGCATCAAAAGCTTGGCGTCTCAGACTTTTGAGTAAATATGGCTCGCGTCCATCCGAGATGTCACAGATGTTAAGGTTGTCGATGTTCCTAACTTGTAGAACAAGGGATGTGGTTCGAGGAAGCTCAGCCATTTCATCGTCGGTTTTTTGGGCCTCGAATATCGCTTGAGCAGCTAGACGGCATGCTTATGGTGTTGATGCATGAGAGGACGTCTTCCACTGCGTTGTTTTCCCCGGGATTGTACACTATCTCCGTTGAGAATTGGGAGATAAAATCCAATTGGCGGAGTTTTCGAGGCGATGCTTTGCTTGCTTTCTGCCTGAAAGCGTATTGTAGTGGTTTATGGTCGGTTTGGATGATGAATGGACGACCCTCTAGAATGTGCTTGAAATGGATGATAGCAGCGAAAATAGCCAGGAGCTCGCGATCATACGTGCTGTAGCCTTGCTCTGCCGGAGATAGTTTCCGCGAGAAAAACCCGATGGGACGCCAAACGTTGCCGACTAGTTGTTCGAGAGCAGCACCGATTGCTGTATCGAAGGCGTCCGTTTTAAGGGCGCGGTGAGCCGATGAGGAAAGGAACGAAGAGCACACGGCACGTAAAATTCCTTGCTTGCAGGCCTGGAATGCATTCTCCGCAGGTCCGGCCCAGGCTATTTCGCGCTTGTAATTTTTGGTTGCGCCTTTTTGGTAGTCTGTGAGCGGGATTTGAGCCTGAGCTGCGTGTGTGAGGTGTCGGTAATAGTTGACCATTCCCAAAAACCTGCGCAATTTCATGATGGTTTGAGGCTTGTGAAAATTGTTGATTACTTGCGTGCGCTCAACAGGGGGCTTGAATTCGCTCGCGTTGACTTGGAACCCTAAGAAAATTACCTCACTTTTACCAAATTGGCACTTTTGAGGGTTAATTTGGAGGTGGTTCCTCTGCAAAATCTCAAAGATTGTCTGGAGGCGCCTCAAATGCTTCTCATGCGTTGTGGAGAACACGATGATGTCGTCCATATAGCACCCTAAGAATGCCACGAAGCAGGTTGTCCATGTGGCGCTGGAAGGTTTGCGCTGCATTGCGCAGTCCGGGTGGCATGCCGACGAACTCGAAAAGGCCGAACGGTGTAGTGACGGCTGTTTTCGGAATATCATCTGGCGCGACTGGGATCTGGTGGTAGGCACGCACCAAATCGATTATGGAGAAAACCGAGCATCCATGCAGACGTTGAAGATTGTCTTCCCCATGGGGAATCGGGTAGCGATTAAAATAGTGGAAGCATTAAGTTTGCGATAATCACCAGTAGTGCGCCATTCGTTGCTCTTCTTGGGGACCAAATGAATACGACTGGCCTATTGGCTGCTGGAGGGACGAATCATTCCTTGCTTCAGTATGAGATCGAAATCCCGGCGTGCCGCTTTTAATTTTTCGCCTGTAAACCGTCTTGGCCTGTCGAAAACAGGTGGGCCAGTTGTTTGAATGTAATGCGGGTTGCTAAAGGCACATTAGGACGTGTGATCTGCACAAAGCGACTAAGAAGATTGGAGTACGGGCGATCTATTCCACTGGAACTTTGCACGCTGATTGTAGAAACGTTGTAGAGCTTTGCTTCTGCAACTTCTCCTTTGGTCGAAACAGCTTTTGAGGGATCTATAAGGCGTTTACCCTTGAGGTCGAGGATGAGGCCGTGGTGCGTGAGGAAATCTGCTCCGATGATTGCTGATTGGACGTTCGCAACGGTGAACTTACGCCGTAGGTTGAGACCAAAAGATAGATTTAGCGTGCCGTAGGTATCGATTATTGACGTATTGGCCGCGTAGAGTTTGAAGTCGTCTTTGCGACGATGTATTCCCTTGATTATCGAAACAGGTATTACGTTAGAATTACGATCGATTATGTGAAGTCGGTATTTCTTTGAGAGGCGAGTGCTTGGAGATCTGCTGTCACCAGTCACCTGAACAGATGACAGCTTCTTTAGTTTTCCTGCTGTGACACCCAGGCACAGGGCGAGGAGCATTTTCGTGCATTACGTCCGAATTTGGAGTGATAAAAGCAGACACGTGGTGCTCGGAGTTGCTGCTTGTTGCGATCGGCTGGGCGAGAATGGCTGGGAGGCTGCATGTTCTGCAGAAGAGTTAAAGAGGCCTTGATGGCAGCGATTTCGCGTTTCTAGACGTCCACGATACTTGAGCCAGCTGCCGGCGCGTATTTGCGGGTGTTGCCTCTGAATTGTGCCGAGGAGGACCCAGCAACCATGACGAAAGAACCCGATTCCTCTTCCATGAGATCGTCAGCGAGTGCAGTTCGCTCTTCCAAAGTTGCTGAGTGTAGGAGCTTCAAGTCCCGGACTCGCAAGGCGTCTGCAGACGCGCGACCATCAGCAAGGGTTGTCATGTGCCGAAGGAGCTGCGAGGGCTTCTTGTCCCCAAGGTCAAGCTCCAGTAAAGCGCGCTGCA